TTGAAATCTCTTTTAGACATAAGTTTTAATTAGAAGTTGTGGGTAATAGTTAAATCATCTGCCTCTAATTTTGTTTGTTTTGATAGTAATAGTTAAATTTGTTTAATGATGGTGAAAATATGCATGGTTAGATTTTGGCACTAGTGTTGATTGGATTCGTTGTGTTCACTTGGTCAAGCAAATATACGTATATGTCTTTATATACTTAAAGTCTCTGTATGTTTTTAGGTTTTTAATTCCATTCAATTTGTCTTTGAAAGTATTTAAAATATTTAATCTGTTTTTTCGATTAATTTCTCCGATCAAATAATTTTTTTGACCAAAATGCTATTGATGAAATACAAATAATAATAGTATTAAAATTTTAAAGACTTTAAAAATAAAACATATAAGTCGTGTGACTTCAAATGCTTTTGAACATATAAGTTGTTTGACTTTAAAAATTTTAGAATTTTTTCTTATTTTAGTAAAAAACATTTCGATGAAAAAAATTGGTAATGAAAAAATTTAATTAGAAGAATAAATTAAACATTTTAAAATTTTTTAAAAATAAATGTGATTCAATTGAAAATATAAAAATAAAAAAATTTAAGTATTATACAAAGATAAATCGATATATTTATCCACGCTCGGTCACTATCCTAAGTACCGGAACCGGTATCAACCCAGCTCGTAGTCTTGGTGAATCAATCTATCCTCTTCAATAAAGACAAGGCCCGGGATGATCATGTAAGTGTTACCTTACTCAGCCCACTAAATTTCCATTGCAGCAAATCCTATTTAATGTTGCCCATTTCGTTGACTGGACATCTCATATTCTTTGCGGTGGATTTTCATGGGTGGGCCCGTTCATTGGGGCAGCACTTATTGCTCTGTCCCACCAGGTTGTGATCAGGGCCTTTTCCTTTCATGAAGTGACAATTGATAATGATTATGATCATGAATTCATGATGCTTTGCTTTCGGCCCATTGATGATGTCTTATGAGTCAAAATCAAGTCCAGTTTGTTCCAGTTTTCGGATAGATGGGCCGGGCCTTGTAAAAATAAATCTAGCCGTCGGGTCCATGAACAGAGGTCTACGTAATACGTCCTTCAAGGGGCTTTCTATCCCATGTTGCTCGTGTGAAACATAATAGGAATGTACTTGGGGAAAATAGCTTAATCTATTCTAATATATCCCTATCTTTGATTTGAATCCATTATGTCTTCGAATTATTACAAAATTTCTAACAAAATCCTTTCTACTGCAAATGTTTAATCCAAATTAATATTGGCAAACATGTCTTTCTTTACCTTTTAAAAATAAATTCGGGACTAACTTGTGAAACCAATTATAAATTGAGACTTGATTTGTAGTTATCTCTTTAGACTATGTATAAAAATAAAAAATAAAAAAAATTAAAGTTATTGTTATCGCCGAAAGGAGGGTTAATGAGTCTAACTACAGTAATTAAATTTCATCTTATATCATTCGAGAACTTTTCTTTCTCTTACTTGTTGAATATCTATATTTCTAATTCATTACAAGTAAAATCCAATATTTGAAAACTTGATCTCAGAGTCTGAAAACATGACCTACCAAACTCACCTCACACAAATTATAACACCTCGAAACTTTTCATGAATTTGGCAAGGTCAAGGAGTGCTGCTTAATTTTGAGGCTGGTTGTTTTATACCACAAAACCCATTACTTTCAGCTACGTAAATTCTCATCTCTTTCTACTCCCATTGTTTCCAACAAGTTTTCACTCTTTAATTACACGGTCCAAATAATTATTTTACTCTCTTTACGTGTTTAACCAGTTTTTAATTGGGGAGGACAAGCATTTCTGTCTTTGTGATGTGTAATCTGAAATATGAATATGCAAATGTAAATGAAGGGAAAAAATATATTTATTGCACGTTAAAAAAATTCATATTTTAATTTGTTTTATTTAAATTAGAACTACGACGTGGACGAAATTTTTTACACCAAAAAAACTATTTATTTTCCTTAAATACAACATCCTATGTCGTATAGAGGTGTACTTAAATTAGTATAAGAAAATTAAAAAAAAAAAAAAAACTCCACTCCATTTTCCACGAGCTGTAGACGACTTTTTGGGCATGTAGTGAGAAGAGGAAATTTCTCAGCCCCTTCTTCCTCTTTATTATGTGTACTTTACAGCACATTGACATTCCCATGCCCGGCCCTCTTATCAATTCGTACTTTTTTTTTTTTTTTTTAATACCTATTTGGAGTGGTTAATTAAAGTCATAACCAAAAGAGTGTTGGGTTAGCCTGTAATTCTATGGGACCACCCACCAAAAATATGTTAAACCCATCCTTAAATGATTTTTAATATTTTTTTGGTCCAATTAACTTTTCTGGATTGTGTGTATTGCTTCGGATATTATCGTGCATGTCATTGTAGTGATATGGTTGTTGAAAATTTTTAATTTCCATTATCTACACCATCTAATCAATCATCTGGTAAACCTAATAGCAACATCTCCACCTACTAACTAATTTAGAAACAAACACTAACCTTACCATTTTTTACTACTAGAGAAACAACATAGTTGATCCTTTCTTTCTTCTTTTCATGGAAAGTCTAACCTCACTTGATTTAATTTAAATCTTAATTAGATCAAATTAATGAATTCTTAAAAAAGCTAGAATTGCTAATTAACATGCATATCTTGCATATGCAAAAATATACTCGAAGATATTCATGGTTTAAAACAATATATATAATAATAAAAAAAAGAACCATTAGTTACCAATCATCCAGTTGCTTGATCAATATAAAATACACAAATATTTCGTCCAGGATCCTATTGCTATGTTTAGATAGAAAGGAAAACAAAATCATATGATTTTTTTATTAGATTTAAAATTATCCAAAATATCTTAGGGAAAGAATACGATTTAACCCCTATATAGTGTTTATCAAAACTAATTACTATAAAAAATAATTAACTAGCCTCTCGATCAATGTAAATTAACTTTAATTTGATGATAGTTTTCTTTTTTTCATTAATTTTTTCCATCTCACCTTATTTATTATTCCTTTTACTATTGTAAACAAAGAAAAAAAATTATACAGATCCATAAAGAATGTAAAACTGATATATGGACTAAGTTATGAATGTATCTAAAACATAAGGATTAAATATATGGTTTTCAGGACTATGAGGACTAACTAATTAATTTTATTAAATTATAGGAACTAAGTTATTATTAGTTTTTACATATCACTCCCTTTGTTTAAAGAGATTTTTATATATAGCAAGAAAGTTATTAATTATTGTGTTATATCAATTTTAAAATTTTTTTTTGTTCATAATTATATTTTGATAATGTTTTGTAAAATAAATTTTAATTAAAAATATATTATTTAAAATTTCAAACAGACAAAATTTTAATACAAATATAGACAATGTTTTCAGGGAGGAGGGAGTGCCGTGACCCATTGGAAAAAGGAGCACTCACAAGTCACACCACTGTTGAATTCTGCTCCTGCAACTCTCTCTCCCTTTCACTCTCACTCTTTCTCTAGGTACACATCTTCATTTCTGTTTGGTTCCCGGGAAAACAAAGGAAACAAAAAATCAGAATTTTCTCTGTAAGTTGCTCTCTCTCTATATCTTGAATGCAACGAGCTTTTTGTTTCTTGGAATTCTGTTGCTTAAAGAGAAAGCAGAGTCAGAAATGTTTAATTTAGAAATAGTTTTTTGAATTTAAGGAATTTCTTCTTGGTTATAGAGTTTCATTTCCATTTTTATTTTATTTCTGTAATTAAATTTCAACTTCTGTTGCTGTGCATGTTTTGTTAATAGTTTTTTCTGAATCGGTCTTTTTCTAAGTTTAGGTGATTTACTTCTCGAATTGTTGAATTGAGTGCCTTTTTTCCTTCTTTTTTTTGCCTGTCAAAATTGAGACAAAAATCTCAACCTTTTCAATGTTACTTTACTTTTCTGTTTGGTTTGCTTGAAAAATGATGGAAACTGAAGCATTACAGTGACCTATGAGTCTAAAAAACTAAAACTATTGTTGAATTTAAGAGTGTTTTTTTTCATGCTGTGCTCTGTTTTTAGTTGGAAAGTGAAATGAATTGCCTTTGGGAATCCCAGAAAAGAAAATTACTATTTAAACAGTGCTTAGAGTTACTATAAAGTGAAAAAAAAAAGTTGTCTTTGCTTTTTTTTTTAAAAAAAATTCTGTTTAATTGCTTGAAATTCATTCTGTATTATTCACGGATTCACCTGTTAATATAGCTCGTATGTTGATATATTGTAAGTTGAACTGTTTTCCTTTTGTTTTTCTGCTTGGTTTTTATTTGTACAGGATCTGCAGACAACTGCAATTTGGAACGACAATAAAGCCCATTTTTGTTAGCATACAGAATGTGGATATAGTGATGGAAATTTCACACCATGGACTACCAACCATAGTTCGATGACGGACTGGGGGATTAAATGGTACTTCAACTCAATCCGACTGTTGGATTCAAGAAAATATTGATGAATATATTGCACTTGAATCTCATGACAACTTAATGCATACTTCTGCAATTGATTTTCTGATCAGTGGTCACAACTAGTTCGTTTTGTCTGTTTTCATTTGCTTGGATGTTTTATTTGATGGGCTAATCCGATTGAGCGTGCTAGGAATACTGGCTTATATCTATATCAAATTGCATCATTCTTAACAGGGTATAGATAATCTTCTTGTTTATTAGTGGTACTGGACATGGCATTGCTTTCATGTTACTTCAACTGCCTTATGATAACGAGGGAAGGAAACAAAGTGCATTGTTGGTTTCTTTTCCTTTTTGTTTTGTTTGAATGTAAACTTGTAATTTGATTAGACTCAGTGATATGAATTTTCGTCTTGGCATTCAAGCTGAAAGAGTGTTTGTCTTTGAGTAGGGCATCTGATTCAAAGTTGAAAAGAGGAGGAAGCCCCAAGATGCTACTTTGAGGTTCGCTAGCAAAGCAAAAGGCAGAAAATATAATGGGAAACACAATACAAAAATCCCAAGAAAGTGCAGTAGAAGAACTGGGACAGCTTCAACAAGAAGAAGATTCGGACTTCACTTGTGAAATTTGCATCGAACCTATGCTAGCAATCAGAAAATTCAAGAATGGTAGCTTGTGTAAACATCCTTTCTGTTTGGACTGCATAGGCAAATATATTGAAGTAAAAATTGAAGAATCCACTGGTTGCATTGAATGCCCTGGACTGAAATGCAAACAGTCATTAGACCCTCTCTCATGCAGTTGTATCATCTCAAAACCAATATTTGAAAAATGGTGTGATCGTCTATGTGATTCTACTGTTTTACAGTCTGAAAGTTGCTATTGCCCATACCGGGATTGCTCAGTGTTGGTTTTGAATGAGTGTAGGGATAAGCTGAAGAAAATAAAATGTCCTAACTGCAAGAAAAACTTTTGTTTCCTATGCAAGATTCCATGGCATGCAGGATACCAGTGCAAGGAGAGCAGACATCTAAGAGATAGGAATGATGTTCTGGTTGGTGAACTGATTGAAGAGAAAAGGTGGACTAGATGTTATAATTGTGGTCACTCTGTTGAGCGAGTTAGCGGTTGCAGAGATATGAAATGCAAGTATGCTCTTTCTCTCCCTCCCTCTCTTCTACCCTCCCATCTGCATAACATTTGTGATTTGAATTTTTCTTTCTTTTGCTTGCAAACTATATGGTGACAGGAGAACCAAAGAGCTTGTAGCCCAGTGGTAGTGGTCTCTTGCAACAAGAGATCACAGACTCAAAACCTAGTAGACTAGTTATTGTAGTTTGGATTATGCAACACAGTTTCCCATACCATACATACATGAGAAAATAATATAAAGCAACATTATATCATTTAAAGCTCATCAGAAGATGTAGCTATAATAGCTGAAAACATTTAAGTTTTTTTTTTTTTTTAAACAGTAATGATTTGGTAGTTTAATTCGATATTTAAACTGGATTCATGTAGTACTTTAGCACACTTTTTGAGAACTTGTACATTTGAACCTCAAAACTTCTATCCAGTCTTGCTCTCAAGTATACTTGAATTCAAAATGCGGGGTTGAAGGTTTCTTCCATTCAAAATGAATTTAAAGATTTGGAGCTAGCTGTACACAGGCAGATTGTATGTTAATGTAATCTTCCAATGCAGATGCGGGGTTCGGTTTTGCCATCAATGTGGAGGATCAGTCCATTTCGGCCCTTGTAAGCACAAGCGCTGTGGAGATGTTCTTTGCAATCTATTCATTTTTGTGATGTTATTAGCTTTCTGCTACTTTTTGTATTTTGAACTACATTCACTCCCAACAAAAGGGTAGACTCACAGTTGCACAAGTCATGTATCCTGGTGGCATGTTGAAATTGCCACGAAAAAAAAAAAAAGGAAGATTTGCCACTTGATGTTTTTTTTTTTTTTTTTAAAGGTTTGTAAATGATGTTATTCTAATATATGCTGGTTTGTTCAATGGTTGGGTTATATAACAGGGGTTAGTGTTTTGTTCCATCCTTGAACCTCTTTTTCCTTCAAAGATGAAGAACGACGAAACTCCACATAGCTTCTTCACTTTCAGAAAGAAAGTTCATGGTTTTTATTAGAGTTTTATTTTCCTTTTTATTATTATTATTTTTTTCAATTGCACTACGATTTCCTTGCAGTTATGATTGGTTGCGGGGAAAGTTATGGAAAGTGGAATATTTCGGTAACCAACAAATGAAAACAAGCCTCCGCTGATAGGTTTCTCGTTATCCAGTCTGCGACTCTCTCTGTAGTCGAGTAGGCTTTTTTCCCGTCTTCAATACCTGCTTCAGACACTTCGGCCCCTGACTTTGGAAAGGCTCTTCCCTGAATCTAATTGACAAACGGGAATAGGTGGATCTAATGAAGAAAAGTTTAGGTTTAAGGGGTGCATTAATAATTATTAGATTATTAAGAGAGTAATTCGAGGTTCCCCCCCACCAAAAAGGATAATTTTGCCACCGACCAAAGATGGGTGCCGCTCGCAAAAGCCCAATGCCCAAGCGTTTTTTAAGAACCCGAATTCTCTGGCTCTCCTCCAATAGACGTCACATTCTGCCACGTGTCCGTCATTTCCATGTGTGGCGTCAAAAGTCCCTCCTTTCCCTTTACGCCCTTTCCGTCCTTTCCCTCCCTCCACTTCCCTCCAGATTCCCTCCCCTTTCTCTCTTGAATCTTTTTCCTTTCCTCCTTTGTTTCTGATTCTTCAAATTCTAATGGCAGAAACCTCTGCTCTTTGTTTCTCTACTTTCTCTTCACTCCCTTCTAACATTTCTCGCTCCATAGAGCCCAATTCATCTCTCTCCGTTGCCTCTCCTTGTAAATTCTCAGCTTCACACCCTCGCTTCTCTCGCTTCACTTGTAAAGCTTCAGTTTCTGGCAATTTTTTCGGTGATGACTCTCTTGGTTTCTTTCCTTGGTCCGATGGCGACAACGGTATCTCTTTTGTTTTTCATCTTACTGTTTTATTATCTTAAAGATACGTTATTTTGGCTGGAAATCTTTGATTTCCAATTAGAACGCAGCCCATTTAATTCCGATTTTATAAACTGTTGATGTCAGTACAAAGTTTGGAGTTTTGTATTTTCTTTGTTTGAATTTGTTGGAATTAGAAAATGGAATTAAGGGCTTACATTAGTTATCTTTTTGAGTTTTAATACAAGTTAAAAATTGAAATGTCAATATATTTATGTAAGAAAGACTTGCCTTTTTTTTTTTTTTTGGGATTCTGTTTTGATGAATAAATCGTGTTTTTCTTGCATTTTGTTGCAGCAATTGAATGGGTTCAGGAGGAAAGAATTACGCTTTTCACATCTGATGGGCTCATTCAGATTGGAGGCTCTGTAGTTCCTCGACTTGCTACTGCTACCGATGTATGCCATTTTGCTTTCATATGAATTTTCATTCATGTTTTTTGTTTCTGCTATTTTCTGTTTTTCATTTCATTTTATTTTTTTCCCGTTGAAGTAACATTAGTGAAAGTCTGCTTGTTTACTTGAATGTAATATTAGTACGTTGTTTGCTATTTTCTATAATTAATTGATCGTTAATATCCGTTGTTCAATTGCCTGAAACAGAGGAAGCAAGGGAAATCAAAAACCTCTCAGAGATATCAACGTTTTCAAGAGAGTAATTACATGGATCCAAATCAAGGCTTATGCTTGGGTGCGCTCTTTGATATTGCAGCAACTAATGTAACTAATTCTTGTCCCATTATTTTTGGGTCTTCTTTAAGATTTATAGTCCCGATATCTTATGCATACGAGATCTGGTCATGATAGGGACTTGATACAGGGAGAAGGCTTTGCATCTTTGGGTTTTGCCGATCGATTGAGATGCTGAGTGATGTTGTGGAAGACACTGTTTTGGAGCATGGTGGTGAGGTATGCCTATTATCATGGAAATTTATCTATCATTGTGATGGTATATTTTGATATTGCTTCATTTAACCTGTTTAGCTTTTATTTGGTTTATTATGTTAAAAATTAAAGCAAGGAGAACAATAAATTAGATATTTTGGGTTAAACCATTTCATGCCTTCAGCTCCAACATTGCCGTATGAAGTAGGGATTGTTATTTTTCTTGGATCCAAATTGGGTTTGCTCAATGCTGTTTTCTTTTCAGCTTTTGACTACCAAATTCACTGGAGAGAGTGTTTTGATATGTTTATTTGCAAGCTTAGTACTGACTGGATGTTATTCATATCAGTTTTTTAATCCGCTGAGGAAAGTCACATCTGTGTTTTGAGAATTGTTCTGGACTGGAAGTTGAAAGAAGAAACAGACCACCACCCTTCTCTTGGCCTTTTAATTGTTGGCACTAGTCTTATTGTATACGTAGTTGCAAGCATCAAGGTTTGTTGCATGTAACTGAATCCCAATACCATATCAAGTTTTGTGTTAATGTTTCATTAATTTGAGCATGTTTTTGGTGGGTTGTTTGGAGTTTCTGCAAGTGGTCTAGTTGCAGTTTGTCACAACAGATAATGGGATCTAATTCATTGTAGGAGACTAAGCAGTACAGTCATCCTTTCATACTTCTCATTGTATTTCAGGTTCACATATGGCTAGTGTTTAGGTGAACGGGAACTATTCTTAATCATGGTTCAACAAACTCTGTTTTTTGAAGTGCCTGTCCTGTCTACCTCTTGAAACGGTTATCTTTTAATTTTCCATTTGTCTGACATCTTCATTGCCTTACTTTTTTTTATTTGTATGGTCACATAATTTAATAGGATGCCTATCTCTGGAGTTTGTATGTCTGGATTAGCCATATCTTAGGATACAACTGAATCTTCACTTTTCAGGTTGTGACTGCAGAGAAGGCCATCAAAGGTGGCTTGCATGAAAAGCTAACAATGACAGTGGCAGTGCCATATCTTTGGGGGGTTCCACCGGCTTCTGAAACACTTCGCCTTGCTGTTCGGAGCGGTGGAGGGATTGTAGAGAAGGTTTGCTGGCAATGGGATTTTTTGTAAATAAAGAATCTCTAAAATGACTTGTCTTCTTTTGTACAAAATTCAACTGTTGTTGTGTCCATGCTCAATGTAAGATTATATGTTAATATCTAATTGATTATTTGTGGCTGCCTTGTGTCATGGGCTGTGCCAAGTTCCAAAACCCTTGTGCAGAAACATTTAACATTCGATATGGGAATGGATAACATTTCCAAAAGAAGCTAATGATATTCTTCTGAACCCCCCGGTTTTCTACTGAGACACTAGTTGGTCTAGTGTGGAGCTTATCCGGGTAATGCGTTTCCAGTTGCTCTGGACTAGTGATTTGGCGAGTTTCTTAAGATGGGCTTTAGTGGACTAGAGCCAACGGTTCCTAGCAAGTGGTTAGCATAAGCTCTGTATTTCTTATCTCCATCTATTAATATTTTATAAAGCAGTTTCTCTGTTATGAGTTTTGCATAGTCATTTAACTTGTAAAGCCTCCATATTCTCTGAATCCCAATCTTGTTCAGCCGAAAACATACGAGAAAAACGAAAATTCTGAGTAGCTAGCTGCAGAGCGTCTACCTTTCTCTTGTTCTTAGCATATATTCCGTTATATATCTGAGGAATCAAGATGGTCCAGTGAAGCAGTGGCACCTATAGTTGATACTTAGCAGTCAAAGTAGATTTCAACCTCTGCATTGTTATCTGTAATTTATTGCTTAATAAAATTCTCTTTTTTTTTTTTTTTTTGGTAAAGTAAAGTGATGAACCAGGAAGAGAGGACCCTAATGCTCGTTGAGCCATAGTTCATTCACTTTTTTTTTTTTTTCGTTTTTGAGATCAAGGAATAATATACTTTCGAAGTTCGAAAATTTAGTTGCCGTATTATTATTATTACATTCAAGGGTAACTTTTTGACTAATTAGCATCTAAATTTTCTCCATCTTGAAATATTTGCGCGATATAATTAACCAAGTGTTGAATTTGGTTCCATTCAATTTGCAGATGGATACCCTACTTAAGGCTGTTGGTTTAGCCACCTTGTCTCTGTTTAAATTGCAACTTACGCATATCAACCCTATGGATGCTTTAAAAAAGTAAAAAATATACAGCCAAGAGGGAATCCCGATGCCGGTGTGTATATGTGCACAGCATATATAGTTCGTGCCAGACTTGGCTTTGTCCTCTTCTTTCTTTTTCTTTTTTACTTTTTTGGGCTGTTCTTAGTTAGTTTGGTGTTGGAAGAAAGATAGGCCGCCCTTGTCCTTTTTAACTTCTTTTTTTATATTAAACTAATTTCTAGCTTCCCGTTAGGGAAACGAAAAAGGACCGGCGGCTCTTGTTTTTACCTTCACATAAAAGGAGTTGATTTTTCTAAGTCTGATAAAGGATAATCAGTCCCTCAAATGTACATGCATATGATCCTTAGTCAAAAGTTGTGGTCAGGAAAGTACTAAGTGTATATCAGAAGTGTATTTCAAGAATTAATTATCACCAAATTCACGCAGTCAAATTAGATTTTTTTTTCCTGTCACTCGTTATATGTTAGAAGCGTCAAAAATGTATTTCAAGAATTAATTATCACCAAATTCACACAATCAGATTAGACTCGTTTTTCCCGACACTCGTTTCTTCCCGTTTACAAAAAGTCTCCGGTTAGAGCCTTAAAATAAAATAAAATAAAATAAAATAAAATAAAAAGAAGAAGAAGAAGAAGAAAGATTGCTCTTCCTAACTAGAAAAACATAAGAGGTAGATTTGGACAAATATCATCAATGTTAAGGTGATCCAAGTTCGAACAACAATAAAGGGCAAGTGATGCAGCCCATTAGTTGATCTTGGGTTACTTGGATATCATGTACCAAAATTCTTGCAACATATAATTAATTAATATATGTTCCTACTTATAAAGTTAAAGTTGTTAAATACATTGAACTCTTTAATTATTAATTATAGCAACGGTCATCTTACTTCAACAAAGAGGTGGTAATTGAACGAGGTTTATGATAGCATACTTAATTTTAATGTAGAAGGTAAATTTCTACCTCCGAATCATAGAACTTCATTTTTCCTTGAAAGCCGGCATTGTTTAGTACAATACTTGGCTATTAAAGACATTATAATCTCAAGTGATAGGTTTCATGATTAAAAAAATTTACTTCTTCTCCAAACTTTCTTAGTTTAAACCTTATTACTAATATTTCAAGAAAATTTATTCTCATTAATGCACTCGATTTGTTCTAAATTTTGAATCTAAGCTGTGAAGTAAAAACAAACGTATCAAGCCTCGAGGCATGGTTGTAATCATTAGACTTAGAGCACGTTGTTTGATTCAATATTGCTTGTCGATGCGCTTACTTACATTTTTCTTTCTCAAAATTATTTCATTGATGGCATATGAGAGCTACAAAGTCTAGCAATTGGGATAAAAGCTTAATGTTACATACTATTAGATTAATTGTCAATTTAGGGCTATGGTTAATGGAGTATTAAATAGTTGTTATTGTCTTTGATGACATGACAATTAGTTACATGAATTGCTAGTTCTCATAACTAATAGATTTAGTTAGTTAGTTAGAATAAAAGGAGGAAAGAATGCATTATTGAGGTATTCAATTTAGTTGTAACAAGTAATCATAAGAGACTTTTCTTTTCGAACCTTATTCTTCTTCTTCTCCTTTTTCCTAATCTTCAAATCTTTTTTTGTTAAGAAAAAAAAATTAACAAATTGGTATAAGAGCTTCAGGGATCGACCAATACATGGAATAACGAGACTCGACTCACACGACTTCAATTTGAAGCTCCAATGAAGTCAATCCACTTGTTAATGGCGGAGAAGGAACTCGAAAAAGAACCAAGGTTAACTTTTACTTTTCATATGGAGCAAATCAAACTTATAAACTAGCATGTATAGTAACTCATGGTGAACCCATTTTGACTCCTTAGTTCTTGAAATCTACTTATAATTCATCATTACCAAAGGTTGAATTGTAATTATTTTGGAGAGATAATCTGCATGATTGGATCCGTAAGTGTAGAAAGTTTTTTTAAGATAAACTTTATTCCTGTTCATCTATTGGTGGAGATAGCTTCGATGTATTTGAAAAGGCGAGCATAAATCTGGTTTGAAGATTTTATGGTAGCGATGATTTGAAAAATAAGGAGGAATTTATGAAGGAACTATGTAGTAGGTTTGGTAAAGGATATAGTAGAAGAATTTAATAAATTAAGTCAAGAGAAGGATGTAGAAGATTATGTGAAAAAGTATGAGGAGTTAAAATCGTTGATGACTATAACAATCCTCATTTGCCGGATCCTATTTCATTTCTAGCTTTATTAGTAGCTTGAAAGGAGATATAAAACCTATATTGAAGATCTTGAAACCACCACACTAATACAAGCCTTTGATCAAGCAAAACGGAAAAAGAATCTACTTCGACCTTATCTAAGAAAGTTAGAGATCCACCCAAAATTTACCACTATGTAACACAACAATAAACTATACATAAACCACACTCATAAGCCTTACTTTCCTTCCACTAGAAATGAAGCCATTACACACTTCAAGCCTATAAGTCGTAACTTACCAAAACTACGATCGAAATTGAAACCTTGTATGACCACGGATGAAGGATAAGGTCATGCTTTAGGTGTGAGAATAAATATAATCTTGACCACTAGTGCACTAAGAAATGTTAAATGCAATCTAGGGAATGGATGAGGAGTGAGAGAAGGTTTTGGATGTTTATAAAGGAAAAGAGAAGGAAGAAGTTATAGATAACGATTATGTCATGAGTATGGTCTGTCATTAAATGCTTTAATTTGGAAAGTACACTACTAACATTATCAAAATTCAAGGATATTGCAAACATAAGGAAATCATTATCTTGATTGATAGTGGGAGTACACGGTTTTATTCATCTCAAGGTTATGAAAGAGATTAAAGGCTGTGATAAAAGAAATTACATCCCTATTTAGGATTATGGTCAATAGTGAGAGAATGAAGTGTCATGCCAAAAGTCCATGCTAGGGGTATGAGTTTAAATCGAATTTGAGGGTATTAGCATTGGGGGGGGATGTGACATGATGTTGGCGATAGATTGGTTATGAATGTATGCACTAATTTTGTATGACTTCATTAAGATGAATTTTTCCTTTAACAAGAGTGGTAGAATGATTGAATTGAAAGGGATAACTAAAGAAGCTAAGTTACAATTGATCTCAACTAATAAAGTACATAAGTCACTAAAGACAACCATTAGTGGATTGATTAGGTAGTTCTTGTCTCTCACAATTTGTGTTGCACTAAAAGATATAACTAACAAGGAGATTAGAGCTCTACTTGCTCAAATTTAATAAGTTGTTCATTGATCCTAAGACATTACCATCGATAAAGAAATTCAATAATCAAATCCCATTAATTCCAACAGCCAAGCCTATGAACATAAGGCCATGTAGAAGCTCTTATGTTCATAAAGAAAGAATTGAGAAACTAGTGAAGGAAACGTTATAGTATGAAGTCATTCACCCTAGTTGAGCTCTTTTGCCTCTTACCCTACTAGTGAAAAAGAAAGATAAGACTAGATATTCTACGTTGATTATTGACAACCTAATAACATCACCATTATAAGCAAGTTTCTAATTCCTTTGATTGATGGCCTATTGATTATCTCTAAAGTTTGAAGTACTCCAAAATCCACTTACGATATGGGTACCATCAAGTCAAGATGAATGATTTAGACATTGAGAAGATAACATTCAAGGCATATCAAGAGGCATTATGAATTTAAAGTGATGCCTTTCGAGTTGACCAATGCACTAGTAACTTTTCAAGCCATGATGAACTCAATAGTGGAACCCTACCCGAAGAAGTTTATCTTTATGATCTTCAATGATATTTTGATTCCTATTTTACGGTTACACACTACTCACCTAAAAAAAGTGTTAGATGTTTTTTAACAAAACAAACTCTTTACAAGAAGATCCAAAGTGTACTTTCCGTCAAACTCAATTGAAGTATTTGGGATGTGTTATTTCTGAAGTTGGAGTAACAATAGACCTAAAAAAGATTGAAACTATTAGTTGCTTGCCAATTCCTCGATTTGTCAAAGAATTGCAAGGATTCCTAGGGTTAGTAAGCTATTATAGGATGTTTATTTGCAACTATGGTTTAATTAGTAAGCCACTTACTATTTTATTGAAGAAGAATAATTTTCATTGGAATAATCAAACTCGAAGGGCTTTTGAGTTGTTAAAAGCAATGTTGCATAAAGCTCTTGTACTATCTTTGCCAAATTTCCACAAGCCTTTTATTTTGAATATGGATGCTTATAGTAGTGAGGTAGGGGTTGTTCCATCTCGAGAAGGCGAGACTTATATCTTTTTTTAACAAGGCTTTAAGCCCTAAACACACAGGTATTGATGTGAACCTCACGTATAAAGATAAGAGACCCAAACACTTTTATCGTTAGACTGTTCTAAAAATGTGCCCAATCGAGGTTATAATAAGCGAAACTCTATATGTTGCCTATAAGGAAGCAAAAATTGAAGTTACGATGCAATAAAGTGAAGAATGCCATACCCTATAAAGGATGATAAGTTCGGAGGCACCATAAGGGTTACATTCCTTGATAAATCGGACTTAGTTCTTTAAAGAATAAAGAAAGAAAATCCTCTCAAATTTGTTAACTCTTAAAATTATTGCATAAGTTTAAAACAAAACTAAACCAACCTTTAAATAGGTTAAACACACCACTCCTAACCTAAAAAGACTTTACATGTCCTTGACACTTAAGGAGAAAAGAAACCAACCTTAATGGACTTAAAAGAATATGCAAATAATAAAGCTTAAAAAATTGGGCTCAAATTTACTTAATTAATTAGTTATAATTATAATTAAGATGGATTTAAAACATTGAGCCCAAATCTGATTCAATTAATTAGTTCTAATTATAATTAACCTACATATAATAAAATAGGCCCAATATGATTTAAGGAGCCCAATCATGGACTTAGATCGAGTTGATAAGTCATGGATCCTCTTCCTCTCTTAAGATGGCCCCACATTGGTTCCTTGGGCCTTTGAAAATGCATTCTACCTA